GATATCAAAAGGAAAATTCAATAGGGAGATTACTCTGATACCAGACGGGAGAGATAATGAAGAACCAAATGTCAGCAGTAGTATAAATTCTTGAATTCAGGCCGTAAGAAAGAGGAAACAGATGTGGACGTTTTTCCAACAGTGAAATTCACAGCATTTGGTGCCCAGTTTAATGAAAGGATGAGAGAAGGGGAATATATGAAAATCACTTACTCCTACATCTCAGGAGACCGGGTAGAGACAGGGTGGATGAGTGACTCTTTTACTTAAACTGGAGTTTCAAGAAGGAGGACAGTGAAGTTGGAGGCTGTGGTTACAGAAGTCATGATGAGGTTAGTTTTACATACAAAAGTTTGAGGTGCACCCTAACTGGTTTGGCTCAGCAGATAGAGCGTCGGCCTGCGGACTCAAGGGTCCCAGGTTCGATTCCGGTCAAGGGCATGTACCTTGGTTGGGGGCACATCTCCAGTAGGGGGCTTGCAAGAGGCAGCTGATTGATGTTTCTCTCTCATCGATGTTTCTAACTCTCTATTCCTCTCCCTTTCTCTCTGTAAAAAATCAATAAAATATATTTTTAAAAAAAGTTTGAGGTGCCTTCAGGATATCCAGGTGAGGATGTTTGTGTGCTAATGTCATAAATGACACCTCTGGAAGTTAGTGGAAGTGAGAGGAGAATTTATAGAAAGGAGAAAGTGACTGAATGTCAGTGGGTGACAGAGTATAACTCTAAAGCAGTGGTTCTCAACCTTCTGGCCCTTTAAATACAGTTCCTCATGTTGTGACCCAACCATAAAATTATTTTCGTTGCTACTTCATAACTGTAATGTTGCTACTGTTATAAAATCGTAATGTAAATATCTGATATGCAGGATGGTCTTAGGCGACCCCTGTGAAAGGGTCGTTCGACCGCCAAAGGGGTTGCGACCCACAGGTTGAGAACAGCTGCTCTAAAGGAAATGGGTCCTTAAATTGATTCAAAAATAGACTATCATGCAGTAATTAGAAAACAGTATTAATTAAATCCTCTGTAGCTTTTATTACTAGGTAATTTAAATAAACAATTAGAAAAATTAAATTATAGTCTTAATGCTTTTCATTTATTATTATTAATTTAACTTACAATTTAAGTCTAATATAATTGTGCAATTTAAATAAGACTTACTGAAATCAGGCTCACTGTTAATGATATGAAAACCTGGAGTTAACAATACAGCATAGTTGAAACATAAAAGGGCTATAGTAATATTTTGATTTAAGTTTCTAAATGCTTACAAAAATAACAAAAGTATAAACATTTTAGACATTATAAATGGTAGGCTTTATTTATACATCAAGATTGGGATTGCAGGGGAGTAACAATTAAGAATAAAGAGTAGCCTGGCCCTGGTGGCTCAGTGATTGAGCATTGACCTATGAACCAGGAGGTCACAGATCTATTCCTGGTCAGGGCATGTGCCTGGATTGCAGGCTTGATCTCCAATAGAGTGCGTGCAGGAGGTAGCCCATCAATAATTCTCTCTCATCGCTAATGTTTCTGTCTCTCTCTCTTCCCTTACTCTCTGAAATCAATAGAAATGTATATATTTTTTAAAAGAATAAAGAGTAAAGGAGGAACTTCTGGTGTTAAGCAAAATGGAAAAGAAAGCAAATAAAAATTCTTTCATTGCATTGCTTTAACAGGCCAAAGTAATGCAAAAAAAAAAAAAAAAGTAAAGGCAGTGACAATGTATGGAAGCAACAAAGAAAATGAACTAGCAGAGAATAGACCTACAGAAGTGGGCAGGTGGCACCGGCTGCTTTATTATCTGAGGTATCTGCAGATTCTGGACCCAGGTGATGATCCAGCTTGGTCTAAATAAAGAGACGTATTTCCTAGGGCTGCCTAACAAAGTACCACAAACTACACGGCTTAAAACAACAAATTTAGCCCCACTGGCGTGGCTCAGTGGTTGAGCACTGATCTATGAATCAGGAGGTCCTGGTTTGATTCCCGGTCAGGGCACATGCCCAGGTTGTGGGCTCGATCCCCTGTGTGGGGCATGCAGGATGCAGTCAAGCAATGATTTTCTCTCAGCATTTATGTTCCTCTCTCTCTCTCCCTCTCCCTTCCTCTCTGAAATCAATACAAATATATTAAAATAAATAAAAAACAAATTTATTCTCTCACAATTCTGGATTTTAGAGGTCCAAAATCAAGGGGCCAGCAGGGCCACGCTTTCTCAGAGACCGTGGGTAGAGCCCTTCCCTGCCTCTTTCTAGCTTCTGGTGGCAGCTGTGAGTCCTTGGCAGCCCTTGTCTTTCGGCAGCATCATTCCAGTTTCTGCCTGTGGCCCCCACCCCCGCCATGGCATTCTCCCTGTGCATCTCTGTTTCTCTTTTTACAAAGACATCAGGCACATTGGATTAAGAGTTCATCTTATTCCAGTATGTCCTCCTCTTGCCTAATTACATCTGCACTGATGCTATTTCTAAATAGTCGCCTTCTGAGGTTCTGGGAAAGGACATGAATTGTTGCTGGGATGGGTGGGGGGATGCATAATTCCACCTGGCATAGGGCACTGCTGGAAAAAGAGAAACCAGAAAAAGTTTTGGAATTTGAAATGATCTGGTATGTCAGTTTCTAAACCCCAGGAGCCCTAAGTGCATGACAGCCATTTCCCCTCCTGATCCAGTTGCAGATTCTGCAGGTGGCATGAGAGGCTCAAGATTCTGAAGAGAAAGACTAAAGTCTCCCATTGTTTTGTATTATTTGGGGAAAAAAGCTCCACTTGAAGAATGGAAACTGCTCAAACTTCAGTTAGTTTTTCCCCCCATGAAATATGCCAAACTTAGAAACATTATGGTGCAGGAGGCTGGAGAGCAAAGCTCAAAAATAGTGAGAATCTGTGAGTCAGTCATCCAGAGCAGGGAATATAATAGCTAGACTCTCAATTAAAATTCCGTGCTAATTGTTCCTTAAAGACATTTTAATGAGCGGTTGATTGCTGCTATTTTATGCTACAACCTACACCATCTCAATTTCTTTGAATCTGGAAAAGGCAAGCTATCGCTGGGGGAAAAATAACGTAAAATTTAATCTTTATGGTGATTTTCAACTCATTGTCTAGCATAAAAGAAAATATACTGTACACGTGTCAGGAAACATAGAATAATGGGACCAATAACTAAGAGAAATCGGTCCACAGAAATAGACTACCAAAGACCCAGAAGGACCATAACTATGATCAATATGTTTAAGGAAACAAAGTAAAGGCACGTGTCAGGAAACAGAGAATGGGACCAATAACTAAGAGAAAGCGGTCAACAGAAATAGACTACCAAAGATCCAGAAGGACCATAAAATAACTATGATCAATATGTTTAAGGAAACAAAGTAAAGGACTGAAAAAAAAGGTGAGAAGGAAAACTTTAACATAAAACTGGAAACTATTAACAAGAATTAAATTGGCATTCTGGGTTTGTTAAACACCGTATCAGAAATGAAGTACCTCTTATTTTGGTTAACAGCAGACTGGACATAGGAGAAGACATGATTAGTGAAATCAAAAAGAGAATAACAGAAAAGAATGAAACAGGACACAGAGAAAAGATATGAAGGGACAGATAAAAAGTCACATGTGTGACACGGTCAAATAGTCTCACATTGGTATAACTGGGTACCAGAAGGAGCAAACAGAAATATGATAGAATGAATGTTTTAGGAAATAATTTCTGGGATTTTTCAAAACTGGTAAGAATCTGTAATCTACAAGTTTAGAAATGTTTGGTAACCCTAAGAAAGAAATATTTAAGGGAATCCATTCCTACTCTCCTCATAGTTAACTAAAGGTTAACATTAAAAGCTAAGAAAAAAGACAAATTACTACCAGGGAAATATTAAGAGTCGTGGCTAATTTCTCAATGAAATCATGGAATCCAGGAAACAGAATGCTGTTTTTAAAGGGAAAAAAAAACGATGAAAAAAATAAAATTAAATAAAAGAAAACCTGCCTTCTTTATTATTATTTTTTTTAAAAATTACATTATTTTTTTATTTTTTTATCTTACCTTTTGAAACAGCATGGATGGACCTGGAGATCGATGCAAAAAATAAAATTAAATAAAAGGAAACCTGCCTTCTTTATTATTATTATTTAAATCACATTATTTATTTATTTATTTATCTTACCTTTTGGAACAGCATGATGGACCTGGAGATTATTATGCTAAGTGAAATAAGCCAGTCAGAGGCAGACAAATACCATAAGATCTCACTTATATTTGGAATCTAATGAACAAAATAAACTGATATACAAAATAGAACCAGAGGCAGGGATCCATATAACAGACTGACAGCTGTCAGAGCGGAGGAGAGGGGGATTGGATAAAAGCAGGTGAAGGGATTAGCCAAAAAACATAAATGCATAACCCATAGACACTGACAACAGTGTGGTGATGACCAGCGGGAAGTAGGGGTGGGGCTGGGGCTGAGTGGAGGTGGGCAAAGGGGGGAAAAATGGGGACATCTGTTGTAGTGTCAACAATTAAAAAAGAAAAGAAAAGAAAACCTGCCAATATAGAATGCTATACTCAGTAAGTAGATCCTTCAAAACTAAATGTGCAATAAAGATACTCTCAGGAAAAAAAACCCACACTGATGGAATTTGTTGCCAGCACTTTATAAAAAATACTAAAGGGAATCTTTCAATATTGAAGATACTGAACATAATGAAGGGCCCTGGACACTGTTGACTATTTCTAGCAAATATCCTAACAAAGCTCTGTAGTCCTATATATAAAACATGTGAATTATTTAGCAATAGCAAAAAAAGTGTAAGGGGGCGTAAACTAACTGAGATATATGTAAGATTGCTGAATGAAAACATGAACCAACAGAAAGTAATTTGTATTAATTAAGGGTTCATTTAGTGATTTCTATGGAAAACCCCAAATGAATTATACGAAGAGGTGAGACAAAATTGTCGAGACCGGTGGTAGGATGGAACAATAAATCTGCTTACTGTTGCAGGTCTTGTTGTATTTGCTGTTCTCCTGTGCAAACCCTTCCAGCCGGCACTGAAAGCGATGCTGCCAAAACTCTTGAAACCAAGGGTTTCGGAGGTTTGTTTCTGGCCGTAGCTGCAGGTAATAATCATCAAACCACTTGACATCGGGAGATTGGAGCTTGATTGTGATTCCACCGACAGCTTCTCGCTGATATCCGTCAGTCACATCATACCTGTCAGCCCAGCCATCACTGTGGGGAAACAGACAACCCCTGGCTTAGAACAGGCATCTCCTCAGCAAAGGGCTCCGCTGGCTTTCCTTTGGAAAAGCTGTCGTTAAATGGCTATTTCAGGCCACATCGTGGTCCTGCATTACACCTACATGATTTTGAGGTAGCGGTCTGTTAGAATTAAAAATGCAAAGCACAATGGAAACCTTGGGGCTAAAAGTGCTGAAAGGCACAAACCCCACTTGCCTTGAACTGTAGAGAATAACTTAATGGTTTGGCAGAATTTCACTGGTTGCAAAATATAATGTATGCCTGGAAGCTGCATATCACCATTCACACTATTTACTGAACATTTTATAGCTAAGTCAAGTTCACTTTAAATACATTTTTTCTTAATAGTAATTATTATAATGATCGTAAAATAAGAATAAAATATTTCTAAAACATGCTTATTATTAACTTAACCATCCTATGACATGATCCTCTCTCTCTTTTTTCCTCCCTCCCTCCCTCCCTCCCTTCTTTCTTTCTCTCTCTCTCTCTCTCTCTCTTCCTTCCTTCCTTCCTTCCTTCCTTCCTTCCTTCCTTCCTTCCTTCCTTCCTTCCTTCCTTCCTTCCTTCCTTCCTTCCTTCCTTCCTTCCTTCCTTCCTTCCTTCCTTCCTTCCTTCCTTCCTTCCTTCCTTCCTTCCTTCCTTCCTTCCTTCCTTCCTTCCTTCCTTCCTTCCTTCCTTCCTTCCTTCCTTCCTTCCTTCCTTCCTTCCTTCCTTCCTTCCTTCCTTCCTTCCTTCCTTCCTTCCTTCCTTCCTTCCTTCCTTCCTTCCTTCCTTCCTTCCTTCCTTCCTTCCTTCCTTCCTTCCTTCCTTCCTTCCTTCCTTCCTTCCTTCCTTCCTTCCTTCCTTCCTTCCTTCCTTCCTTCCTTCCTTCCTTCCTTCCTTCCTTCCTTCCTTCCTTCCTTCCTTCCTTCCTTCCTTCCTTCCTTCCTTCCTTCCTTCCTTCCTTCCTTCCTTCCTTCCTTCCTTCCTTCCTTCCTTCCTTCCTTCCTTCCTTCCTTCCTTCCTTCCTTCCTTCCTTCCTTCCTTCCTTCCTTCCTTCCTTCCTTCCTTCCTTCCTTCCTTCCTTCCTTCCTTCCTTCCTTTCTTTCCTTCTTTCTTTCTTTCTCTCTTTTTACATTTTACAAGTGAATTATAGGGGTTAAAAAAACAAATACAAAAGCTTGCTGCCATAGCCGGTTTGGCTTTGTGGATAGAGCGTCAACCTGCTCAATAAAGGGTCCTGGGTTCAATTCCTGTCAAGGGCATGTACCTTGGCTGCAGGCTGGATCCCTGGCCTGGTTGGGTACGGGAGGCAACCAATCTACGTGTCTCTTTCTCATTGATGTTTCTTTCTCTTTGTCTCTCCCCTTCCCTTCCACTCTCTCTAAAAGTCAATGAAAAAATATCCTCGGGTGAGGATTAACAAAAATAAAAAAATATATAGTGATTTGTCAGCGCCTCAAAGTGAGTCCTTGTATTTCATAGTTTGTATAGTCTTTCTACCCCATCCTGTTTCTCTAATACATTTAAAATACGCATAGGAAATTATGTTTTACATTAGAGTGATTGAAAGAACATCTTAACAATGTGCCATCGATGGTGTCAAGGAACATACGCCTCAGCGTTGCTGTCATTCTGTGCACTGATCACTCAAAATCTATGAATCTATATATAAAAATCCCTAATATGCAAATAGACGGAACAGCGTAACAACCGAACAATCGAACAACTGGTCGCTATGATGTGCACTGACACCCAGGGGGCACTCGCAGAACATGGCAGGCATTGGCTGCAGTGGGATGGTGGAGCAGGTGAGCGGGGGCGCCAGACCAAGGCGGGGCACCAGTTGCTATCATCAGGGTGAGCCTCTGTTGGTTACTGAAAATTCTTTGCTCCCACGCACCACCGTCCCGCCCAGCACTCGCACCTCCTGCTGGCGCCGGCCCTGCTTGCACCTGCTGCCAGCGCTGGAGCTGCCACTCACACCCACCGATGGCGCCAAGCGATTGGGACCAGCACCGGGCGCCAGCAGCAGGTGCAAGTGGCAGCTCTGGTGCCGGTAGTGGGTGCGAGAGGTGGCTGCCAGCCCCAATCACCACTCAGGGCTTCTCTACCTCCCCCTGCTCCTGAGGAGCGAACAGGGCAGCAGCCTTCGCTCATACCCGCTGACAGGGCTGGCCCCAATCACTCCACACTGTCAGTGACTCGGAGTGATGGTGGTGATGGGAGCGGGGCTGTCGGCAGACAGGGGACCAGGGGGCCCACGGTGGGAGGGGCCGGGTGGGGGCACGGAGGATGGCCAAGACCCGCCCCTGTGCCCACCGCAGCCTCATGATCCATAGTTCCTTTCAAGGTGCACAGATTCGTGCACTGGGACCCTAGTTTTAAAATAAAAGAGTTAAAATCAGAGAGTTCATGGTGTAATGGTCTGAGTATAATAGCTTAAGTAAAAGTATTCTTAGCTGATAAGAAAAATACATAAGACACAACATTGGAAATAAAGGGTGTCCCAAAATTCACGCAAGAAGTAATTTTGATAGAAAACACAGGTTTATAGTTAAAAATTGTAAATTTTTTATTGGTTCATAAAGTATACAGTATAGTATTATGTATGGAATAGCATATCGGGTAAATGGCCTCCACGGCTTTGCTGGCACATACGCACTCTTTTGTTATTGCCTGAGCAGCCACATTTTCGAAGAATGGTCTGATGATGCCTCCAGCCCCAAATCCGCACCAAACAGTGACACATTGTGGATGAATTTGTTTCTAAACAATCACTCGTAGATTTTCTGAACCCCAAATGTGACAATTTTGTTGATTAACCAAGCCATCAAAATGAAAATGAGCCTCATCGAAATTCAGCCACATTTACGCAAAACGGTCATGGAAAATTTCAACAAAAGAGTGCATATGTGCCAGCAAAGCCGTGGAGGCTATTTACCTGATATGCTATTCCATAAGTAACCCTATACTGTATCCTTTATGAATCAATAAAAAATTACAATTTTTAATTATAAACACATGTTTTCTATCAAAATTACTTCTTGCGTGAATTTTGGGACACCCTTTAAAAGACATTGAAATGATGTTAGTATCAAATTTGTTCACACCTTGGGACATTCGGGGGAAAAAAGACACTGACTTTTCCTGTCCTCTCTCCCACTGGAATTTGTACAACTTGTGCTATGTATCTGCTGGGACCCAGTGCTGCTGGCCTTTCTTTGAAGAGGTACAAGTGTTCTTTCAAGAAAGATAAAGAAAATCAAGGGGAAATTCAACAATGAAAAAAAATAACACCAAAGAGTGAAGAGAAGGGATACAGAAAGTGTTGAGTGGAAGAACAGAATGAAGCCTTCTGAATGCATTGTTGGCCTGTGAAGATAAGCCGGGTTGGGGGAGTGGGCACTGGGGAAAGGGTGAAGGAAAAGACTTACATTAAACAATCATTGTTTACTTAATTGATATCCAGCTATTTTTATTTATCAGAATGTCAATAGATTTTTACCATTCTACAACTTGCTCTTTTGTCCTTCCTACTTTATTTTTGCAGGCAGAGAGCATGCTCCAATATTTTGCATATAAAATCAGTGCCCGGGGACGTGTTATGAAAGTAATTAATTAACATAAGTGCAAAAAGCATTTTTTTTCAGTATACTCTTTTATATCAACTCTGACTTAAAAATTGGTAGTGAGAGTTGTTCCAAAGGTCATAGACTACTCATTAAGATATCATAGGGGCTCAAGAAAACTTGAGATATTTCCTAAGTCCTCAGTAGGTGGTAGAAGAGAAAAAAATAAACAAACAAAAATAAGCTAATTCTTCCTCTAAGTCCTCCTTGACAAGAAGGTATTTCATTCTAAATTATCTATGGTGAAATTTCAAAAACTTTTGTGGCAGATCAAAAAAAAAATGCAATATGTTTCATTCCCATGTTGAATTTCATTACTTCTCACATTATCTTCCCTCAAGATTCTCATTTTCAGCTGCAGAAGATTTTATTTAAAGCTGACAAATTGAAATGAAGTGGGCTTGTTTGCCTCATTTTCTCCCTCTGTTTTGGAGGATGTATTATATCATTGGTATGAGAGTGTGGGTCTCATTGGCACTTGAGGAGATGCATGGGCGTGCTGCGAAGGAGACAGGAAGCTCTGTTTGTCAAGCACCCATTCTCCAAGGAAGAGAGGATTTAAATTGCTCCTTTTGTTAACAGGAGCTTGCTCTCAAGTAATGCTATGACTATGCATATTACATAAGAAATATAAGATTACAATGGGTTCAATTTACCCTTCACAATTCATTCATTGAATTTAATGGGGATTGTAAAAGCCTGTTCTGATAAACTTTTTTTGAAGGTTATATTCCATGAAAAGTGTTAGAACCAGAGTGTGTGAATTTACTCATCTCTCATCATGTTTCTTAGCTTTTTAAACTTATTTATTATTATTTTTTTTTGTTAATCCTCACTTGAGGATATTTTTTCCATTGATTTTTAGAGTGGGAGGAAGGAAGGGAAAGAGGGAGGGAGGGAGGGAGAGAGAGAGAGAGAGAGAGAGAGAGAGAGAGAGAGAGAAGAGGGGCACCTAGATTGGTTGCCTCCTACATGCACTCCAACCAGGCTGAGAACTGAACCTGCAACCCAGGTACTTGCCCTTAACTGGGAATTGAACCTTTTGGTATAAAGGTATAAATCTCTTCTCTATGTTTAACAATTTAGCCAGAAGTGATATTTTATTAGTAGCTTACAAGTTAGAGTTGTGAGTTTAAAATAATTTTGACCCATATTCTTTCATTCAACAGCAAAATAAAAATCATAAAGAAGTTTGTGTGTAAACAGAAAGTTCCAATATCTATGTGACAAAGCAGGATTATTCTATTTAAACTTACTGGGGATTATTTGATATGTAAATCTCAAGAAAGTTCATTCTATGCTGGCTAAGTTAGATGGTGCTATATTGACTTTAGTTTATTAAAAATTAACATTTTA